ATATTATCATGGTATCTTTGTTGCCTTACGATTCCAATAAATTTATGCGATTATAGGTTTATAATGATCACGGAAGGAAGAGGAAAATGGTGAATTTCGAATCGTACTTAGTTTCTTGTTTTACATATGTACAGATTATGTAGGAAATAATGTTGATTGTTCAATTTTAAATGGAGAATTGTCTTTATATTTGTAAAAAAAAAAATATTTGTTAAAAAATTAAAATCTTATAACGATTAATCCACAATCTATGAAAGAACAAATTTGCTACAATAAATAAACTAAAATCTTCAAGAAAGCTAATAATAAATGACAGTAGTTTCCTATTAAGTTACGATTACGAAATTGGTTATCTATTATCTTTACTTCCGGTCAAAGAATGGACGGTGGTGGTGGTCCACTTTGTTTGTCGAACTCTCCCCAGAATTTTGCCGGCTCTTCAACGGTCTCTGGTGCATCGCTTCATTAACGAGCACCACTTGAGCTCCGTCGTTGCCGAGGACGACGTCGCCACTCGAGTTCCACGCTTAATTATTCCACCGCCACCCGGTACACGTGTCTCTGGATCGGGGCTTTCCCTGTTCTTTTAATTCCGCTTTATATCGTTTCTTGGGCCACTGGGTTAATAGAGTGTCGTCATTCGTCGTCATTATAGCGGTCGATAGTGGATCTTATTTTCATTTCTCGATGTTAACGCCACGGAGAGAGACAGTTTTAACACCTCTGAATTAAAATAGAAATTTAAATTAGGGATATCTTTTCTTCTTTTTTTTTTAAATTATTATTATATTTTTTAAATTTTATTAGGATTATTTGAAAAATTGGATTTGTTTTGGTATTAAGTCGTCTGGAAATTAATTATTATTATTTTTATAGTAGATAGATATAGAATATTTATGATCAATTGCTATTGGTTTCACATAAATAATAGTAAATGATATTTCATAAAAATAATTTGTTATTAATCTTTATTAATCGTGTTTTTCTTTTTCATTTTTTTATAATTATTGGTGTCAATGTTTTATGTTTTAATTGCATCAATTGCTTAATGTTATATCGATTTCATCACGTAAACTAGAATATAATTTGCAAGTCGAATCGATATAATTATTGCACAAATTAAATGTTCTTAGCAAATTCAAAGAAATATAAGAATTGCAAATATAGAATAAACTACAGAAAAATTTTTTTTCTCATAGATTTTACATTATATTTAAGCTTTATGGTTTCATTATTACAAATCTTATCGTTATAGTTCTTTTTTCTCTCTTAATGACACGCTTCCTTTGGATTGAGATTTATTTGTTTTTTCCCCAAGAAATTTCTTGTCCAATGATATCATGCATTTAAAGAGACTGGCCTTTCAAAGAGATCGGTCTGATGTAATAAAAATAAAAATGGAGCATTTAATCATTAAAGAGCGACACGTTTTAATTGGAATAATTTATGAGCTTTTAAAAATAAAATTTCTTTGTTTCTAATTGGTTTCATCATTTCACTATCTCTTTTTCTTTCTCAATTTATCTTTTTTAATTAAGCGTTTTATTTAATTATTATCAAGCCATTAGCGACGAAATTATTCTAATTTTCTCTTATCATTCGATAAATGACACGTGTTTTTTATATTATTACTTCCTATTGCGATAAAATTTTGAATCAATATTGATTATTCTAGTATTTGAATAATATCGCTGTATATAATTTAAGTATTTGTAATTTCTAATCATTTTATTATCTGTATCAGGATATAAATTAGAATTTTGAAGCTTTGAAAAAAAAAAACACTATGACGCGAAATACAATAATTTTCTCTGTTAAAAACAATTTTTCAAATATAATTATAAATCAACAATCCCAACAAAGCGAGAATATCTGTTAGAATTTCTTCAATTCACATATCTCGATCGAATTCTGTCAGAGAGTATAACACCAGGGTGCAACGACCTTGGCAAACGGAAATCGAAATCCACGGGCACGGCCATACACGTGGGGCAATCAGTCGAGGTATTACGCAAGGGCATAGTTCTCGATCGTGATTCACGATCAACGATCAACGATCGCCTTTCGCCGACAGATATAAATGCGTGTCACACTTTTGCAATGAATTCCTCGTGTTCCACTAACCCCGACACGTGAGAAATCGTCCGTTGTTTGACGCTTGTACATGTACCAATGCATAGACGCCGTGTCATTTGACGGTAAAATCATTTTTCCCGCCATTTTTATGCATTCGTATCTATACGCATACATTTTTTCGACATGGAGAAATGTATTTCTCCCACGTTGCGTATGAACGAGCTCGTAATTTATTCAAATTTCGATTTTATTTGAGACTGGTCGTTGCTAGAAAATTTTTCTTAAGAGATTTTTCTTAAGAGAAAAAGTTACACGATGTATTTATTAAAAGTCTTGTCAACTAGTTTTATAGTATTATGTTATTTTCAATTTAGAGTGTAATTAAGTTTGGAGATATATAAAGTATGTTTCGATTATAATATTATGATTTCCGAAATTTTAAATATTAGTATGTAGAAATGGAATTTTTTTGTATTTATTGTAATTTATTCCAAATTTTAGAGATAAGATTTGTAATATTGTCACAATATATGTACTAATTAAGTTACTTTATTTAGATTATGAAATTATTTTTTTTTTGCAAATTTTTTTTTAAGGAGGAGATAATATTCTTTAGATTTTTTATCTGAGATGATGCTAATTCTTGGATCAAAAACTTTTGAAACTTTCCTTATTTCCTTCCAACTTTCTTATTCAATTTTTCATCCCTTTTTGATATACAAGATATACTTTCAAACTATATTTTCTGAATTTTTATTATGTATTTAATAAGCCATTCCGTATGCATGAAACTTATTATAATCTTTTAACCTGTTTCAAATTATATTCTCTTTCATGTAACACCAAAGTTTTAAGCTCCTTAACACTCAGATAACATACGTAACAAAAAGAAAAAATAATAATAATAATAAGCATGCACATCATAATTTTTTCTTTCTTTTTCTTTTTCTCTTTTTTTTTTTTTTTTTTTTTTT